GGAAAAAATACAGCTCAAATGTCCATGAATGCTTTTATTTTTCTATTCCATATATGTGTGTGTGTGTGTATGTACGTACACACACACACACACACACACACACACACACACACACACACAGAAGAACAATAATTATAATGAAGGTGAAAGGTTCTCAAGTTACCACTCCCTTACCTCTGCTCTTCCTTGCTCCTGCCAGACCATAAGTTCCTTGAAGAGAGCAAGGCTTTCTTATCTTGCTTTAGCATTTCTTTAGAATATTTAGTACAGAATTCTGTTCACAAGTGGACCTTATTACAGCAAGGACACCACAATAACAATAATAATAACAATATTGTTCAGTGCTTTTTTTCTCTCTTCATCTAGAGAGATAGAGTCTCTCTGTCTTTCTCTTTCCCTTTCTCCCTCTGTCTTTCTTTTTCTCCCTAAATTCTGGCACCTGATTACACACTGAATGGGGCAGCTAGATGGCACCATGGATGGAGTGCTGAGCCTGGAACAGGAAGACTCATCCTCATGAGTTCAAATCTGACCTCAGACACTTACTAGTTATGTGACCCTGGACAAGTCACTTAACTCTGTTTGCCTCAGTTTCCTTATCTGTAAAATGGACTGGAGAAGGAAATGGCAAACCATTCCAGTATCTTTGCCAAGAAAACAAAAAAAATGGGGTCACAAAGAGTTGAACATTATTGAAACAACCGGACAACTACAGAATATTTAGGTTGTGCTCTATCTCTCTTGTACTGTATTCCATCCTTTTTCTTTTCCCTCCCACTCCAAATTCACAGAATATTGGGTCTGAAAAAGACCTTAGAGGTCAAATAGCTAGACCCCTTCATTTTCCAGTTAAGAAAACTGGGGCCAAGAGTAGGAAAGTCACTTGTCCAAGGTCCCACAGTTACTGAGAAGCAAAGCCTGGATTAGAATACAGTCCTTCTGACTAAATCCAATGCTCTTTCTACCTCATTGGAACATGAGTGTCCATCCTGCCTGGTAAAATGCTCCAAGTATTTCATAGGCATACTATTCAAACTAGTTCCTCACCCACTATGTGATGATTCATTATCAAAACAAAGCACAATGAGATGGAATCTAGTAGATTGTAAAGGAATTCCCAAGGAAGAACCACTTCCTTACTGTCTAGCTTTAACAGCCTTCACTGAGCCTTTTTAGTTGCTGAGGTAACTGTCTCCATCCGATAAATCAAGCAGTAGCCTATTAGCTCTGAGCAGAGGTCCTAGGATTAGCACTTCTAGGGACTGATCCTCATCTATAAATGAGGAGGAAGGGGGTAAAAAAGGATTTTAAAATGATTATCTAGTCTGATCCCTTCATTTTACCGATGAAGACATTGAGGCCTAGAGAGGTTAAGTGAGTCACCTGAGGTGACACAGGAAATAAGTAGCAGAGCAGATTCAAACTGGCTAAGATCCTCTCTAATTGGTTTTCCCCTGTTGGAGATGCTACAGTGTGGAATTTCTACATTGTGCATGAGATTGAACTAGATGATCTTTTAAGGTCCCCTCTGTGCCTGAGGTTCCGTGATAACATGATCCCTAAAGCAGATTTCAGCGCTATGATTCTATGAGGTGCCCAGTATGACATCAATGGGGTCAGATTTAAGGTTAAGGTAGAGATGAGGTTTACTAGCCAGGTACAATTGCATTTCCCACTGTTCCTTTGTAGTAAGGGAAAATGAAGAAATTAAATGAGAGCTTGTGTCATAGGCTAACTGGGCAAATAGCCACATACCCTCAGGAATAATTTGACTCAGCTAGAAGCCTCATCTTTAACATAAAGTGACCCTGTTTATATTTTGTCTATAGCCTCTCCTCTCCTCTACTTTTCTCTCATATTAACTCCTGCCTAGACTATAGGAAAAAACCTCTTAATTTGTCTACCAGTCTCTTCATATTCCCTCTGTTCTTTACAACAAAGACAGGATAATCTTGCTAATGACCTGTTTTAATTACATCATTTCCCCAGTCAAAAATCTTTAATGGTTCTTCATGGACTTCTAGATGAATCAAACTCTTTCTCATAGGCTTCACCCCAAAAGAGGTCATTGCACAAAAAAAAGGTTAAGAAGCCCTGCTTTAGTAAAAAAAAAAAATTACTTTGGCAGCTGAGGGATTTGAAATGGGGAGAAACGAGTGGGGAGGCCAGTTAGGGCCTTGAAATAGACCAGGCAGGAGGGCCATTGAAATAGTCCAGGTGATAGGTGATGAGGGTTTGATCTAGGGTTGGAGTGTAGGAGTGGAGAGAAAGGGAAATGGAGGTAGAAATATGAGACAATATACATAAAACATTATGCAAAACGTCAAGTGCTGCATAAATGTTGTCCATTAGCACTCATTACTCTAAATGAAATTACTTCTTCTATTCAGTCCACACAATATACTCAGTGTTTTTTTCCAAGATGACAATAATATTTGAACAGACTCTTCCATACTAGTATACCTCCCCCCAAGAAAAGAAAACAATATACCCCAGGTTTAAGAAAACCAGCAGGAAAAAATTCTTGGATTTTTGTGACCCAGTTATCCTTCAGTCTTCATTTCTCTTCTTGTTTATTTCTTTCTCTTCCTCTCTCTCATCTGAGGTACAAGTCTCCATATTTAATCCATCCTTTATTTTGAAAATACCGCATACCCACACACATCCTCCCCTCTCCCACTGTAAAAGTTTGCTTTGAAAGGAAGATAAGATCCTGAGGACAGGGGAAGTTGTACTATGTCTTGCCAAACTGAGAAGGTGGAAAATAATTGTTTCTTTAAACATCTTTTGATTCTTGTTGACTTTGATGATTCCAGTTTTCATAATGACTTGTGCCCAGTCCTTACATCACACTAAATATATTTTTCTTTTTATCATTATCAGGATCTTTATAAAACATGTCTGGAAAATTCATACAAGCTTTTTTTTTAAAAACAGTTTCAGACTTTCTCAGTAGCCTTTTACAGCTCCCTGAATACTTAGAACGCGCATTGCTGTGCCCTGCTGAGTACAAAAAGCCCACTCTGGATCACACAAAAAGTCGGTTAAACCTCTCTCACTGAGAGGTCGTAGTTTTGGGACTGTCATAAGAACAAACAACCACACGCTGACTTGTGTGTTCTCTGTGGGACTTGGTCTATCCCTTGAAGCTTCTCTTATTCAAATACGAAAAAGAATTCTTAAAAAATCTACAGCAGTAACTTTGTAGTCAACATAAAGCTCTCTGCCAATCCTTGGCCTGATACTTCAGAGGTTTACATTAGGGCGAAGAACCTGGACTTGCAAGTACAAGAACTAATTTACTAAGTGAACCTCTATGTCCTTGATGAATTCATAAGCATGTAAGAGACATAAAAAAAAAAAGATGGGTCAGTCACCAACTTCTTCCCAGTTGGATAAAGCCAAGCAAATGTTTCATCATACCTATTATTTCTATTATCACTCTCTTTCATAAGCTTGCTAATCGAGAATAATGATTTGGTGAACCCAAAAATACTAGAAATTTTAAAAACACTTATAATTTATTTTGAAATGTTTGCATTATATGACTTTTTGTAGAGCATTTTTGTTTTGTGTTTCAGTTAATAATATACAAGTTCAGATTTGTTGTGCATGTCCCAAATAACAAATCTGAAGGTAGTGCTTGAGAATTTGCCCAGTACTTTATAGTAACTTCAAATCTAGCTTCAGACACTTACTAGTTTTGTGACCCTGGATGAGTTACCTAACCTGCACTTGCCTTATCGTAAAATGGGGATAATCATGCCACCAACTTTGCAGAGTTGTTGTGAGGATCAAATGAGATAATATTTGCAAAGTGCTTAGCATAGTGCTGTGTAAATGTTAGCTATTATCATTGTTGTTATTATTTCCTTTGATCTTCACACCACATTCTAAGACAGGTATTTTTATTATTTTCATTTTAAGATGAGGGAACTAAGACCCATAGAGGTTGGATGACTTGTCTAAAGTTACAGAAGAAACATCAAAGACAACGTCTTTGATGTTTCTTGACCAGGGTCTCAAACCCTGGTCTTCCTTATTTCTCATCCAGCATGCTATCTTCTATGCAACACTGCTCTCAAAAGAGAAAGCATCACAAAGTGTTTAGTGTGGCAATGGAAAATTATACTTGTAATGTCAATGGGATGGGAGGGGGTAAGCAAGATTTTTTTTTAATATGAAGGAAGACAGAGATTTAGTTTACCAAAGTCAATGAGATGCAGAGGAAAGTACACTGAACTATAAATCAGGAGACCTGGGTTCTGATACAGATTTTGCCTTTCATTAGCTGTATGACACTGGAAGGGTAAGATAATTTGTATGGGTCTTATTTCCCTTATTTGTAAAAAGAGGGAGTTGCGCTAAATGATCTATTTCAGCTGTAATAATTAATAATGTCCTGTGTCACACCTTCAGTCAATAGTACATACTAAGAAATGGACTAAGAAATAGCTTATGCTAGGAAATGGAGTCCTAATATTGGTCCATTGGCTTGAGTACCCCTCCCCGACCTTCCCAAATCCAAAATAAGAAGCGTCCAAGCTTTGGTCCAATAGACCCTAGACATATGCTCTTTTGAAACTCACTACAATAACTAGAAGGAGAAAACATTTCTAAAAAATAACTATTCTTGGAACTGTGAAAATAGTAGATTGTATTCACTAAGCTCTGGTTCCAACTCACCTCCCCCATTTCAAGGTCAGTACTACAGTAGGAGACTCCAGACTGACTTCCTTTTTCTTTCTACTGTTATTTCAGGAACTTTTGACAGAACTTCAGTCTCCATTTCATTGTAGTTAGGTCTTGCTATACTCCCACCATGCCTTTCAGACATAGAAAGTTTTGATCTTCTCCTCACTCTATAGGGGTTTATTGTCATTGTTCATCCTTCATTTTCAAAAAGAGTACCAGTGACATCATGGGGTGATGTCTTGACGTGGATTGTATTTGAGTGAGGCAGAGCTGCACAAAGTCATCAGCCTCACTCTCTTTTCCAGAGTCATCAAAGTCCAGTGGCAAGACAAAAGTCAAGAGGATTGGCAATGGCCAGGATGCAGCGGATGACGTTGTGTCTTTAATGTCTGACCAAGTTCTAAGCACCCACTTTAGCTGCCTTCCTGGCTGTTGGAACAAATTGTTCTCACCTGCCCATTCTGCCAGGATTCAAAGTATGAAAGAATATAAAGTTTTATCCTAATCACTAAATAAAGAAGTGATGGGGAACAGAGGTCAAATCCGATCACAACCAACTTCAAGAGGCTGTAAGAATTCTTTTGTTGTAATGAAATTGTGCTGGAAATTTGGTCTGCAAGAACTAGACTGTAAGTTAGGGGTTTAGAATGTTTTTTCCAACAGATTTTCATTGTTATGGTATTTTTTTAATCATGGTTTTTTTTGTAATTAAATTAGGTATCATCAACATTTCAATTCTTGATTTATTGTGATTATTGTTCTACATCAGCAATCTCATTGGTACAGGGAAATTCCCTCTATAAATGTGTAGAACCAGAGCTACTCCATTTTAAGAATCATTCCATCTTGTTCATACATACATACATGTCTGAACTTTTCCATTAGTGCTTGCAATGCAAGTAACCCACAGTAAGTAATGTCATGGTATCTTGTTATGTAACCTGTTCTGAGGAACCCAATGATGAAATGTATGTCTTTTGTTCAAGAACTAGCTTATCTAAGTTCAGAGGGGCTCATCACAAGGTTAGCCATAGTGTAACTGATTTTTCAGTCAAATTCAAGGGCTCTCAAAAACAATCTATTAAATTATAAGGAGTTTATGATCTACATTATTGGCAAGAAGGTCCATATTAATAAAAATCACAGTCTCTCAGAACACTGAAATGCTTACTGTCTATATCACTTATCTGGCACTAATTACATGATGTTTCATTTTATAATTCAACTTTCCAACTATTCAACAATTATAAGTCAAAAATTCAACTATTTATCTGTTCTCCTCAACTAGGCTACAAGCTTCTGTTTGGGGGGGCAGTGGGGAAAGGAACTATATATTGCGCTTTTCTATTGGCCTAGATTTCTTTTGTTGTTGTTCAGTTGTTTTTAGTCAGGTCTGACTCTTTGTGACCCCATTTTGGGTTTTCTTGGGAAAGATACTAAAATAGTTTGCCATTTCCTTCTCCAGCTCATTTTACAGATGAGGAAACTGAGGCAAGCAGGGTTAAATGACTTGGCCAGGATCACACAGGTAGTGTCTGAAGTCAGATTTGAACTCAAGAAAATGATTTTTTTTTTTACTCCAGGCCTAGCACTCTATCCACTGAGCCACCTAGTCGTCCATACTGTCATTTAATCTAAAAATAAAGGCTTAGATCCTGGTGATTTTTGGCAAAGGCCATTTAGTATCACGAAATAACTATAGAAAACAAACCTTGATATTGATTTTCTTTGCCTTTATCTGTCTCCCTTTAAATTACAACAAACAGATGTAAAGTAAAAAACAGACAATTTTAAGGCAAAATACTAAATTAACTCTGAAAATCAAATATGATACACTGAATATAGATCTGTCTGGCTACTGCAACCATTTCTGTCTCTGCACATCTATCCATACATCCATTATCCTCTGTCTTTCTTTAAAGGGATGGGTGAGACATTGAAAATGGAGTTATTCGTTTATTTTGTGGTTAAAGAAAGGAATCTAATTATCTTAGCATTTATTATAAAGGAGTACTGGGACAAAAATGTGTTTTCCTCAATTTTTTCTCTATACATCCTGATTTTAAATAGGTAAAAAGAAATGTGTAATACCAAGGACAGACCAGTGACCCAACCTCATGCTTATGATTCCAAAGCTTTTATTAAATGAACTCAAAGTCAAAAGAGCTAAGCTTGAGTCTAAGCTTCTATACTTGATAAGGAAGGGAGTATCCACATGTATAGTAAGTAAAACAAGTCACTTAACCTCAGCCTCAGTTTCCTTATCTGTAGCCTTGGGAAAATGATCATTGGGGACAAACATTTGTGCCTTAAAGGATTATTGTGAGGAAAGCCTTTTCTAAACTATAAAATAGCATATAAATACAAGATAATAGCTATACTGATGATGGGAAATTATATAAAATGAGAAAGACAAGCATGGTCCCTACAGTCTAAGCACTTCCAAGAGATTGTAGATTGTGGTTCACCAAAAAAAAAGAGGACCTTGATCTTCATTTGGCTGTTCTGAATCTACTACCTGATAGGACCTGTCCCATGCCTCTAGATCAGATGTTGGAAGGCATCATGGAACAATGGAAAGGGCACTGGCTTTTCAATTAGAAGACCCGAGTTCAAATCTGTCCTTTGATGCTTACTACTTATGTGACCTAGGATAAGTCCTTTAACTTGCATGAACCTCAATTTCCTCCATTTATGAAATTAGGAATTTGAGCTAGATAAAAAGGCAGGATGGCATGGTGGATAGAGAACCAACCTTAGAGCCAGTACTATTTGGGTTCAACTCCTAGATCACCATCACCACCACTATCATCATCGTCAATCATAATGCTAACATATGTGTATGTAGTACTTTAAGATTTGCAAAGGACTTTACCAATATTACTTTATTTTATTATTTATCATTGGTCTATAAGGAGCTCAAAAGTCCTTCTGGACTATGGTCCTAAATATACAACATATTAAAATAAAGAGTAAATACATACATGGCACAGGTAGAATTATCAGCAGCTATCTGCATTATAAATCATTGTTAATAATAGCTGACATTTACATGGTCTTCTGAAGTTTCCTGAGTACTTTGTTTCATCAAGCAATGTTAAAGGGTCTCCTAAATTTGTCTTTTTGTGTTGCCATATCTTTTAGAAACACTGAACCCAGAGTATGCAGGAGGCCCTGAATGTATCAAGGACAAATATCCCCCTTCCTCCTGAGCTGACAGAATTTTTTGTTTGCACCCCCTGTGTGTCCTTGGGAGTCAAGATAGACACCAGTCCGTGTGCACTAGGCTGAGAAGCTGCCTTGTGCAGCTGGGACACTTGTAGATAAGCAGACCCTCCTATCTTCATGGTACTTCCAAAGGGAAAGAATGCTGCTTTTGCCATCGCTTGCCCCTCCCCTTTGGGAGGGGTTTTGTCCTTTCCCCACTTCTACTGTACCTTTCTCCCTCCCATGTGACATCCCTTAAAGTGGAGATTTCTGTAAGTATGCGAACTTCTAAATGGATTGTGAAATCTTTGGATTCTACGTGCATGTTCATTTCTCTTTGTGATAAACCTAGTTTTCATATAAGTTTCATGAAGTTGTGATTGCCTGTTGACAGTATACATTATCTCATTTGAGTTTCACAATCATCCTATGTGGTAGATGTTACAGACATTATTTTGCAGATGAGGAAACTGAGATACAGAAGAGTGTAACCGACTTGCCAACAACTACTAAGTGTCTGAGGTGGGATTTGAACCCAGGTCTTTCTAACTCTTAAGAACCAGCACTCTATCCACTACAGTGAGGCAGCTAGGTGGAACAGTGGGTAGAGGGTTGATGCCAGGAAGACCTAATTTCAAATCCAGCCTTAGGCTATGTAACCCTGTGCAAGTCACTTACCCTCCCCCAGCCTCTATTTTATCACCTATAAAATAGGAACAATAATAGCACCTACCTCCCAGAGTTGCCATAGGGATAAATTAAGATGATGTTTTGTAAAGTGTTTTGTAAACCTTAAAGCACTATATCAATGCTAGCTATAATTGTACCACATTGCTACTCTATAATACCTGACTTTCTGGTCCCTTGGGCACCATGTTCTATTCATTGCCTAGAACCAAAGGTGTCTGGCATGAATAAATTCACAAAATGTGTGGTCTACATTTTAGATACTCTATTTTACTGGGGATTTTTTTAACTTGGCAAAAGGCTTTTAAATACATTATATATATATATATATATATATATATATATATATATATATATATACATACATATATATACACACACACACACACACACACACACACATATATATATGTACATATTCATATATTAGTTTAATTCTTACCTTTATCATGTTTTTTGTTTTGTTTTGTTTTAGGCAATGGGGTTAAGTGACTTGCCCAGGGTCACACAGCTAGTAAGTGTTATGTGTCTGAGGCCGGATTTGAACTCAGGTCCTCCTGAATCCAGGGCCAGTGCTCTATCCACTGCGCCACCTAGCTGCCCCTCAACAATTCATTTTTGCATAGTATTTTGATATTACAAAGCCCCTATCTCATTTGGTCCACACATTAGCTGTACATGAGGCAGGCAGCATAAGTTTTGCTCTCCAGCTTTTAGAGATGATGAAATGGAGGCTCAAAAGTCAAATGATCAGCCTAAATTTATATAGTGACAGAACTAGGTGGCTAACCCAGATCTTTTGATTCTCTTCTACACCAAGAAATCTCCCCCCAAACCCAAAGCTGTTTTCTTTTCTGGTGCTTGAGCCAAATGGCAACTTGCTTTAATGAGGAGCTCAAGAATGGCCCCCTTGAAAAAAGTAAAACTATATCCCTACTGGGAAAGGTACCTTGCTGAAGAAGCCTGGAAGTTCATGATACAAAATATCCTATAAGGCCAATTTAAGCTGTATCTAATTACCTACAGATGACTCCCTAGGAATTTCTCTATACTGGTTTTAAACACCTGGAGTAATGGGGTTGGATTGGTCTGTAACACAGTGGATTTACCATAGAGAGCTTCTCATTCAGTAGGGTAAATATCCCCTTGCCCGTGTTCATCTTTTTTTTTTTCCCATGACTAAATGAGAGCAGTTGTCTTGGCAGTGCACCCTACACTGAAGCCTCTGTGCCAAAGCTGGTCCTTTTCCTCATATACACTGTTTTAAGCCCCAGTCTCTGCCCTTGATACTAGGCACCTGCGGACAGAGTCTGGCAATGGATTAATGCAAGGGTTATCCAGGACAGAATCTGGCACAGAATTCTTCACTGGAAGAAATTTGATTAATCATTCTCATTACCTTCCAATTCCATACACCTGGGCACATCCAGTCTTTGGCCAAGACTAGCAACCACAGGACTGAAATGGCCTAGGAAATGCCCTTCCCACCATCAACCCAAGCTGATCAAAGGAGGTACTTTAAGGTTTCACTGCAACTTTCCCATTTGGAGATCTCAGGTGAGAGTGCCCACACCACTGAATGCTTTACCCAATGTTGGGTTCTCTGAGCTCTGCCTTGGGTATTCCCTGAGGAAAAGAGAATTGGTCTCGGGAGACAGAATCAGAAAAGGCACCAATGGTCGTACCTGAGGGCACTATTCATTACTGAGAGATTACCTGCTAATGTTCTGAGTGCCTGGATGCCAGGGCAGTTCACCAGTGCAAATATGGACACACGAGGCATAACCACACAAGGCTGGACCTGGAGTCTGGAAGATGTGAGTTCAAATCTGACACATTAT